TCTAGCGAGGGCCCATGCTGTATTTCTTGCACTGACATATAAGACACTTATGACATGCAATGACATTCACTTATGACAGCAAGATATGTAGATGTTCAGCTAAATTAAATGTTTAAACATTGTTCTACTCTTTTCTGGCAGTGCGGAAAAACAGAGTTCCTGTCCCATCTCTGTGATTTATACCGAGATTTCTCTTCTCCTGTGAATCACAAACATTACAGACGTGCTGTGGTAAACTGGCATTGTCCACCTTCTCATGGAAAACTACTCACATCCCAATAGTACTTTAAACCATTTACAGTGATGACAGTAACAGGATCGAGTTTTTTAGCACAGAATTATCAAATACACAAGCTGTAGTACAGCATCCATGCTAATGGTATGATGACATTAAAGATATTCTGATGATTAACTTATTTAACGAATAATTTCCTTTTGGTCTATAACTTGAGTAAGTGTTGTTCTTTCAAAGTGACCCCATTAGCCAATATCACTATATCAATAACAATCAAGAACAGAGAATGAGAAATCACACTTCTTCCCATGATCCTTCAGAAGTTCAGATGGTGCAAAGTCCTGTTGAACGTGTGACTGGAGGTATATTCCAGATGTTTCAGAGGGTGAATGTGTTTAGGTAACAGGGCTGAGGGAATGCCGTGAGTCTAAAATGTACATGATTCATAACCCGTAATGGACGAGTCATGAAAAAGGATGTTTAAGCATGATGTGTTAAATGGATTCACACATGAATAATAAATGAGATTTTAAAACTATTTTAATGATCATATTCAGAGATGGAGAGTAACAAAGAAGAATTAAATCTTAATACTTGTGTTCATTTCTAATACAGTACTTTTACTTCACTACTACTTTAATATCCTTTGTGGTTACATTTAAAAGATTCATTTCTGAAAGCCAATCAGAACAGACCAGCTCCGGAATACACTTCAGCCCTGATGAGCTCAGAGTTCAGTGGAAGAGTGGAGAAAGAGCAGAACGTTACCAGCACGATGAACATCCTTTATCCAGACTGGATCATCATCTTCATTTGTTTTCAAATGAATTTCAGAAAACAGAAAAATTCTCAGCAAATCTGCCTTTGAAACCTGCTGATCTCTCCACCTTTCACAACTCAACCTCCACCCTGAGGGAGCAGCTGCTCCTGACTGACCAGCTAATCAAGTAGTGTGTACTTTACTATTTCCTCCTTATTTTGGTGTTTTATAATAACACAGCAGCTGTTTATTAAACTTACTAGTCGCTGTGACACTAATGTTCTCCAGTTTATATTCATCTTCCATCAGATTTTAGTCGCTGACTCATTCCACAGTTTTTGAGACAACAACATCAATCCAATTCTGGGATGTTCAGCCTGATCAGGAATGCTGTGCTTGTATACAGCTTTTTTATTGGATGTACGGTTTTTGTAAAATCATCATTTAATGACTAATTTTTTGCAAAAGACTGTGCACCCAACTTACATCATAATGATGCAAGTCCATTAAAAACACTCATGTAGGATATCATGCCAACTGCCAACAACCCCCTAGCAACCATCTAAGATACTATAGCAACTGCCGAGCAACATCTTAGCAAGCTTTTCACTGTTTTCTACAGGAAATGCACTTTAGTTAGTATTATTATTATTATATACTTTATTAAACTTTACATAAACAATATGGGGTGTAATTCGGCTCCAGGCTGTAAAATCCCATATGCATGGTTGTAAAAGTGGGTGATGTTATGTTGATCGTATTTGTCCGGTTGGTGTTAAACCCAGGTCATCTTTTCCTGCGTCTTGGTTGGTTTCCAAATGGTACCATTTGTTATAATGAATCTGTTGTGATGTGTTGAATTATCATATCTGAGTAGATTAATCATAACTATGAATGTTATGGTTTGATGTTATGTGTTTATGTTGACCACAGTGGCCATATGAACTGTTAGAGGACAAAATTAAACTTAATAAGATAGAGGACTGTGTAAAAGACATTAAAGAATGGATGTCAAGCAACTTCCTTTTACTAAATTCAGACAAAACCGAAGTCCTTCTTCTGGGTCCAAAAGCTGCTAGGGATAATCTGCCTACGTTTACTCTTAATCTCGATAGTTTCTCAATTGCACCAGGCACATCTGTAAAAAGCCTTGGTGTCACGATTGATCCCAGTCTGGCCTTCGATGAGCATATTACCAATATTACCAGAATAGCTTTCCTCCACCTGCGTAACATCGCTAAATTAAGAAATGCACTGTCGCTACAGGATGCAGAAACGTTAGTTCACGCCTTCATCACGTCCAGGTTAGATTACTGTAACGCTCTGCTTCCTGGTTGTTCCAGCCAAAACCTTAACAAGCTTCAGTTAGTCCAGAACGCTGCAGCCAGAGTTCTCAGCAAAACCAGGAAATTCGACCACATTAGCCCAATTTTGTGTACCTTACATTGGTTGCCAGTTAAATTCCGCATTGAGTACAAAATTCTTCTACTGACGTATAAAGCTTTGAATGGCCTTGATCCTCAGTACCTCAGTGACCTTATTTCCTATTATCAACCGACACGCCCACTTAGATCACAAGGTGCTGCTCATTATTAGTACCCAGAATAAATAAAGTTACGTCAGGGGGAGGAGCCTTTTCATACAAAGCCCCCCAGCTTTGGAATAACCTACCAGTCTGTGTTCGGGACTCAGACACAGCCTCCATCTTTAAGTCTAGGCTAAAAACGTACCTGTTTAGTCGAGCTTTTGGTTAATTTGTTTTTCTAACTATGTCCCTCTCATCCCCCCTCCCCCCTACCCCCTTCCCCCTCCTCCTCTCTTTCCCTGAGCTGAGCGGCTGCCTGTCCTAAGAGGGTCTGACCTGAGATGCGGCCGGCGCACTGCACAGTGGTGTTAAACTGTATCCACTTATACTGTTTTGTGTCTGTCCTCTTATCCGGTGTCGACCAGAGGAGGATGGGTTCCCCCCTACTAATGTGATTTATAAAGGAAGAACGTCAGCCACACTCACTTATTTATGTTGTTAATCATTGGTGTATATTAGTGTTATTAGTATTACAAGATTATTGGTCAGTTAGTGTTTTTATTGTAATTGTACGGAACATTTGTTTGATGTTCTTTCATATTATTGTTGTAATGATCTCCTTAGAGAAACATATACTCTAAAGTGATCATTGAAGTCAGCTTGTACGTCCTTGCTGGACGCTGGATGGTCATACTTTAGATCAGCAAACGAAGTGAGGCTTAGTAGTCATTCCAGCTAAGTCAGTCTACTTGCCTCTCCAACATCCTCTCTCTCTCTCCCTCTATCCCTCTTTCTTTCTCTGTCTCTCTCCCTCTCTTTCTCTCTCTCTATCCCTCTTTCTTTCTCTCTCCCTCTCTCTTTCTCTCTCTCTCTCTCTCTCTCTTTCTCCCTCTTTCTCTCTCTCTCTTCCTTTGTGTTTGAGTCTTTAAAGCTAATTTATGCTCAGCGTTAAACACAGATATGGAGTCTTCTGTCTGTCCTCTGTGTTCATTTCATCCTTATTTTTTACATGTTCTCTTAAAACTTACAGATACAGATGGATACAGATTGGTAACATAAGTAAAAGTAACTCTGCCATCCACGTCATGAAGTATTTAATGGCCTCACAGACCAACATCTCATTCATAGTTGGTCTCTGGACTGCCCTCTAGTGGACGTATTGCTTAACATCCATGCCAATATAGAGGATACATGAAACTGTGGGCAGTGATGGTTACATGGTTTGAGACGGACATATTTATTTTCATATGTAAAGGGTATAAATGAGCCTTAACTGTGACGGAGGCTGTGAAGCTATTTAACTGTCAAATAAAGTAAAAATAAATGTCTGATTCTGAAACATATATCAGAGTAAAGAAAATCAAAGCTGGTTAAACTGCTGTTGTTTTTAATGATTTAATAGTAGAAATGTTCCATACAGTTATCAGTTAATTTACACAGTTTGAAGGCTGTGAATGTGTTTACTGTCTCTAGAGGTTAAACCCTGTGAGTTAATGTAAGTTAATGCTAAAGAAGTTAATGTTAAGTAAGACTGTCACTAAAAATGACATTAATAATTTAGTAATCTACCCTTTTTTGACTCTGTGGGTTTTTTTTCTTTGGTGAGTGGACAAAATTTGGCTGGATTGTACAGTGGCCCAGAGAGTCACCTTTACAAAGCATTTATGAAGGAGAAAAAACATGAGAACACAACAAAATGTATGCATAACACAAATACATTAAGGGAGAACACTACAGCATTAAAGCAAACAGAAATAATTAAAGAAACTATATTGTGGAAATGAGCTTGTCTCGTATGCTGGATGTTTTTAGACTACAGAGTTGAACCTGAGTAAATATGAAATATGTACCTAGTGCAGTTTCTTCTGCTCAGCAGTGGAAAAAGCCCTCCTGATTCTTACAGGTGTGCTCTAAAACCATTAATCTAACAACAGTTAGTGAATGTTAGCAAAAACAAAACTCTTCAGCTTCATTTCAGTTTCACTTCAGCTGTTCTAGAAAATCAACACATTTGTGTTGTGCATTTTTTAGGTTTATTTATGGTAATGTTCACATATTCTACTTCAAACTGTCAGTAAACTTCAAACAACGAAATAACTAGACAAAGTCAAACTACTACTGAACACACTTTAAAAGGCATATTTAAAAAAAAACTTGGTGTGTGTCTTAATCAATCAGCATCTTTAGGGACCCACTCCATGCAGTGATGTAGGCAACCATGTGACATGTGTGCCAAACACAGTGAAGGGGAGGTCTCAGAACAAACAAGGAGGTGATTAAGACCAATCACAATAAAGGGGAGGTCTCAGAACAAATAAGCCTGCGATTAAGACCAATCACAGTCAGAGTCTCACAATGAATGATGTGGTGACTAGGTCAGTGACAGTCAGGAGGAGGTCTCAGAACAAATGAGGTGTGGATTAGGACCAATCACAGTCAGGAGGAGGTCTCATAACAAATGAGGTGTGGATTAGGACCAATCACAGTCAGGGGGAGGTCTCATAACAAATGAGGTGTGGATTAGGACCAATCACAGTCAGAGTCTCACAATGAATTATGTGGTGACTAGGGCCAATGGCAGTCAGGAGGAGGTCTCAGAACAAATGATGCAGTGATTAGGACCAATCACAGTCAGAGGACGGTCTTACAATGAATGATGTGGTGACTAGGTCAGTGACAGTCAGGAGGAGGTCTCAGAACAAATGAGGTGTGGAATAGGACCAATCACAGTGAGGGGGAGTGTGGTGACGCTTCACCGAACGCCAAGAGGAGACACAGAGTCACGGGGGAGGTTGTCACTGATTGGTAAAAGAGAAGAGTTTGCAGGTGGAAAGATATGACGACTCCAGGTAGTTCAGTTAAAACGTGACTGATTTTATTTACACGTGAGAAAACACACAAAAGAAAAATGGCACAAACGAAAGTAAATGGTAGTTAAAAGAAGTGCCATCCTGACTCGACAGCAGTACAGGTAAGTATATTTAGTTTTAGGCCGCGAGGCCGTGGAACAACACAGTCAGCTCTACTCACATGTTCCCGCAGCTCTCTCTCAGCCTGAGCTGAGTACCATCGAGCTAGACCTTCCCTACTAACGCTCACCACACCTCTTTTAAGATAAGTCCCGCCCCTGTATCACCTGAGGTGAACCTTTCCACTCCACAGGGATGTTGCTATCCCAGAAGAGTAGGTTACATCAAGGGTACAAACATAATCTAAAAGCAATCAACATCACAAGGTCTCAGTAAGTTATGTTACCAGTAGAAGTACTTTAAAAACAGTGTGCACATTCCTTAACCTGTCTCTCTTTCTCTGAGCTCAGTCTGCTAGGGAACTGACAACAGGTGAGTATTACAGGTAGTTATTACACTAACATCTCAGTGTCACTGGTGATGGGCAACACCACAGAACAAATGAGGTGTGGATTAGGACCAATCACAGTCAGGGGGAGGTCTCAGAACAAATGACGTCTGGATTGGGACCAATCACAGCCAGGGGGAGGTCTCAGAACAAATGACGTGTGGATTGGGACCAATCACAGTCAGGGGGAGGTCTCAGAACAAATAACTCAGTGTCTGTCTAACATATGTGCACTGTGGAGCCAGAATAAACCCTAAAACCAGCATACAGAGGCTCAGTGAATGTGGAGTAGAAAGTGTGTAAATGGGCCAGTGTTTCAATGTAAGGTTGATTTAATACGAGGTGGCGTGTGTGTACCTGTGACAGTGAGTGTTTGTTGGGTGGGAGGCTGTAGAAGGACACAGTTCCAGCCTCCCAGTCCAGATATACTGCTACTTTGTTGGAGCAGGAGGGGGGTGCAGATATGACAATTTCTTCATTATTGTGCCAGGCGGAGTAACTCTCATTAAAGCAATCCAGACACCAGGACTGGTTATTGGATCCAAACCCACAGTCCTCTGTGCCTCCTTTCCTACTGATTCCTCTGTATGACACTGATATAACAGCCCCACTTCCTCTCCATTCAACCTCCCAGTAACAGCGTCCAGTTAGACTCTCCACACTCAGAACCTGCTGATAGACATCAAATCTGTCTGGATAATCTGGATACAGCTGATCTTCTCCCACATGCCCCACCTTTCTGTTCCTCTCAGATGGACAGAGACGTCTGTTCACTGTGTCTGGATCCAGAGTGAGATCAACAGCATCTGTACACACACAGATTAGAGGAGACACAAACAGAATATATGTGTGTGTGTGTGTATATATATATATATATCTATATATATATATTTATATCGCTGTTGTCAGAAGAAAATCTTGTATCTCCAAAATGGTAACTTTACAGGAAAAGCAAAAACCTATGTATATTAGGGGTGGAAATCTTTAGGCACCTCACGATTCGATTCGATTACGATTCAGAGGCTGCGATGCGATTATAAAACGATTTTCAATGCAGCTTTTTTTCTATACAGGATTTCTTTTTTCTCACTGTGTAAGGACTTGGTACTTCTAAAGCAAAGTATTTATAATAGTCCATAATGAATTTACTTTCAATATCTTTCAATATATTTATATTTAAATGAAAGTCTCATTCACTGCTCTTGTTTGGAACACATGAGACACTGCTGCCACTCATCTGCGATAAAATGCGCAGTTACAGTTAAATTAGATCCTGTGGTAATGAGTGTCCAAGCAGCAGATTACAGCTGTCCTACCCGTTTTCTTCAGTGATTCCATAACTTCGGTTTTGGTCTTGTTGTAGAGAGGGAATCGCTGTGTCAGTAAAATATCTTCGAGACGGGACGCTGTGTCTCAGCTCCAAAGTGTGCAACATAGCGCGAAAGCCTTGGTTCTCAGTGATGAGAACGGACGCAAATCCTTGCCAATAAAAGCTGTGATAGAATTTGTAATTCGCTTCGTTCTTTTTCCGAGTTGGGTGGAAGCTCTGACATCACTGCGGCTCTTTTACTGCCCGGTCGCGCCACAGCAGAATTAGATTTGTAGGTAATAATAAAATAATCCTCCTTTGCAGTAAAATAAAGCTCTGCTGATCATTCAACACAGTTTAACAATAAATGGTCTTAAACGCTGAATTAATGTAGCCTATAACTGCTAGTTCACCTAGCTAGTAGCTAACAAAAAGGCAAAGAGAAACATTTGAGATGAACATCGATAATTTAGAAAATGAATAGACGTGTATAATCACTCCAGCTGGTTTCCTGACATGTTTAATCGGTAACGAGAAACTTTTAAACACTAAAAAAAGTGAAGGCGAAGTCGCTTCTCATTCACCAGCTTCTTGTTTGAATTTTCCTGTTCCACCTTAAATGGTGCAGCAGTTATATTCTGGCACCTCAGACACTATTTCAGGTGGAACGGGAAAATTCGAACAAGAAGCTGGTGAATAAGAAGCGACTTCAGCCTCGTAAAAAGTAGAACATTGAGAGACATTTTACAAGAAACTGTTTTACTTTTGTGGAAAAGTTTTCAGCTGGTGATGCAAGAAAAGCGGCTACAGCTGAGCTAAAGCTTAAAGCAGAGCAAAGTAAGTCTGTGTTTTTGTTTGTATTATATTTTTACTCTACACTAGGACATCAGCACGTACTGAGACACGTACAGCCAAGATGGTAAAATGGACTCAAAGTGTTGTGGCTTCCAAGGTAGTTAGATTTTTGCCTAAAGGACAAAATGACTCTTCTTAACATTTGGGTTGCGACCCCTGCACTAGCTTTTATCGTAGTGTGCTGCCACAGACTGTCCGGGCGCTGCACTTCTGCAGTTTGCAAAGTTCCGCCTTTTGTGTTCCATCAACATCACGTTATCAAATAAAATTATGTATATAATATATATATATATATATATATATATATATATATATATATATATATGTACATATATATGTGTGTTTGTCTGTGTGTGTGTGTGTGTGTGTGTGTGTGTGTGTTACATTTTGTGAGGCCTCTTTTCATCCTGCTCTTCCCTCCATGATCCACCCTAAAAAATAAACAATATTACAGTAAAATCGATCCTCAGTGTGACAGTAAATCCTGTCTGAAATACACATGAAGTAGATGATTATGGTAATTATGACAGAAATTGTGACGCAAAATGTAATTCATCAAACCCAGACAGCCGGATGGCACTGATCCATTTCTATTTTCCATCAAAGTCATCATTCTGGTTGAAATTTCAATGTCAAGCTTGTGATAGATCAACATTAAAATAGCAAGGAAAGTCACATGCTTGTAACAGTGGCCACAATGACAGTAAATATATATTTTACAGTTGACACTGAGTTGAAAGTCACCAGCTCGTAAAGTTGGCAGTAATGACATTGAATATACACTGATTAATAGCAGTCTTTGTGATACACAAGCAAAAACAAACCCTCAAGTAGTATCAACACGTCCTGCTCCTCAAGTCCAATCTAATCATGATCCAAGTATTTTTTTCAACTCTATATGTGCCACAATTGGTGGCACCCCTAGAAAAAGTATTTTCCATTCATATGGTATGTTTTAAGTTCACCTGAGGGATTAGGAACACTTAAATTATCAGCCTCCTTCATTTAATGCTTTGTGCAGCCCTTCTTTGCAAAGCTCTGGGTCTTCCCCTATATATTTAGTAAGACTGGAGAACACATGTCAAGGGGTCTGTGACCATTTTTTCCATACAGATCCTTCAGATTCTGAGGTAAATGCTTGTGGACTCCCCTCTTCAGATCATTCCAAAGGTTTTCTATGGGGTTTAGGTCAGGGGACTGTGATGGCCATAACAGAACCTTGATTTTTTGATTAGTGAAAGATTTTTGTGTTGATTTTGAAGTGTATTTTGGATCATTATCTTGCTGGAAAATTGAACCACAGCCCAGTTTAAGCCTCCTGCCTGAGGCAGTCAAGTTCTGATTTAACATCTGCTCCATGTTACCATGTATCTGAATAAACTCTACAGGGCCTTTGGAAAAAAAATAGCCACATAACATGAAAAATCCACCACCATACGTCACAGTGGGGATGAGGTACTTTTCTGCATCTTTTTGTTCATGCCAAACTCAGCTCTGCCAAAAAGCTCTATTTTGGTCTCATCTGACCATAGAACATGATCCCCTTAAAGTTCCAGTATCGTCTAGGAAAGCTTTCTTCTGACAGGCCCCCCAAACCTGTAATTATGTAGGTGGCATCTGATTGTAGTTTGGGAGACATTCTAACACCAGGACCTAATTAATGTCTGCAATTCCCCAACTGTGATCCATGATGATTCTTTGTCTAATTCAACCATCCTCCTTAGTGTATTTGGGGTCAGTATAAGCATATGTCCTCTTCCTGGAAAATTCTTAACATCTCTGGTTGTTTTAAACTTCTTCCTGACTTCCCGACAGTGGAAATTGGCATTTTCAACTGTTTAGCTGTTTCTTGTAGCCATTCCCTGATTTTTGCAGCTCAGCAACCTTTTGTTGCACATCATTGCTGTATTCTCTGGTCTTTCTCACAATAATGGATGACTGAAGGAATTTACCCTCATATTCATACCCCTGTAATTCAGGAAGTTATGGCTGACTATTTAAGTGTTCCTAATCACCCCGGTAAACTATAAAATAATAATAATAATAATAATAATAATAATAATGGGAATATACTTCAGTTAGATTTCAATAATAAGAATTTCTAGCAATGCCAACAATTGTGGCCTACATAGTTTGAGAAAAAATATTTATTTTATGATAAGATGCAAATGTGGAGCAGAGCTGTTTGCTATAGCTGATCATGACATCTCCAAAAAGATAAAAAATGAAGATAAACTTTGAACAAGGTAGTTCAGGTAGCCTGACTGTCTGAGCTATGAAAATGCAAATGGGGAAATGTCGACTGAAGTAAATGGAGTGCAGCACTTCAGGCTTCTGTCTGTCAGGCTTTTTGCAGATACCTTTAGACCAAAGCTGACCACATTTATATCGCCCGTAGATCAATTCTGTTTTAATAGGCTACCATGTGGAAACAAATCTACCCCTAAAATCTTTCAATGTGAAGCGTGTAGACATCTGAAAGGACACAAAGGTACTGTGATTGTCATGGATGACATCTTTGTATATTGCAAAGGTCAAAATGAGCACAGTGAGAATCTTGCAAGTTCAAAAGTTCAGAAAACAATCAGTGAGTCTAGAATAAAACTCAACCAAGTGAAATGTCATTTCAACAAATCACAGTTGCATTATTTCATACACATAATTAGCCATGATGGCATGAAACCTGACACTAAGGTAAAAGCAATCAAAAGAATGTCCAGCCCCATAAATGTGACATAGCTTCGGCAAACAGTGGAAATGGCGGTGTGAGCCACGTCTGTTGACAAAGCTTTATCCACTAACCCTGCAGAAGAAGGACACAGAACAGGCTGAAGCACGTAGTCGCCACCATAGATACCCATATCTAAATGCCATGTTGTCTGTTGTTCTCTATCTGAGGCGATACATCTGCAAATTTTCACCAAATTTCACAAATTTGTTTTGTTCTAATCCTCAGACACAGATTAATCTAGGTTGAACGAATCTTCTCTCGGTAGCTTTTATTTCCTTAATAACTGATCATGCTAATTAGCCGTCCAGACCAGCAGGAAAGTATTCAGTCTGCACATGACGTCTCACGTGTTCAGCGTGAGAAACACAAACACACACATCAACAAATCCATCAATGTGTAAATCACTTCTAATCTTAATACACATAAAAATAAAATGAACCCCCAAAACACAGTAAGAAAGACGAAGCTAAAGTTGCCTTCCTGTTCGCCAGCTTCTTGTTCACATTTTCCCGTTCCACCTTAAATGATGCAGAAGCCTAGTCTTTTGCCTTTTTTCATTACACACACACACACACCTGAATTTCTCCAGTGTGCAGTGTGGATCCTCCAGTAGATCAGAGAGCAGCTTCACTCCAGACTCTCCTGGGTGATTATAGGTCAGATCCAGTTCTCTGAGTTGGGATGAGTCTGATTTCAGAGCTGAAGCCAGAGAAGAACAGCCTTCATCTGTAACCATACAACCAGACAATCTACAGAAAGGAAAAAGAGGAACAGATGTCATTTACATGGAGCAAAAAACAGCTGCAACACTGTACAAGAACAACAAGCACTAAATTCAGCGAACTATACATTAACATTCTGATATCAAACAGGATGGAACAAAAACCACAATAACAAAACTGGCATGGTTTCACACTACTACTAATATTAGTAAACATGTTAGTTAACATGTTAAAATATCATTTTAATTCAGAGCTTTAGGAGAGGAAAAACCTTTTTCCTCTAGACATCACTGCAAAGTGAAGTTTTTACAGCCTTCCACCTGTCATTCAGCCCATCAGGGCAAGGCAACAGTACATGAAGCAGAAAATACTTTCTCTGAAACATAACAGCCAATGAATTTGTTGTTATTCTTATACTAGCAGATGAACTGAAACAAAGCAATTTACTGTCATGTGATCCTCACTGTCTTCATACATGATCCAAGCACAAGCCTTTTGTTGTTGATAAACTGAGAGCGGTGGCTGAAATATCGTGCTTATTCAAGATTACACTGCAATAAGCTTTCTGCTCTGGTTCATTTTGAAGACATAGTGAGCATCACAAGCTCTGTAAACATACTGAGTAAAGCCAGCTGGAAGACAGAGCTTCTCAGCTTTCTTAGTGGTTTTTGGTTGTTTTTGTTGATAATTTGTTTCTTTGTTTTCTCAATTCAAGTAAATTTAGAAATTTTTATATATTCAAATAAGGTTTATTTACATTATAACATGCTATCTTTATACTAAAGGTGTGGTTTAAACTCAACTAAATTGGTTCTTAAACTCCACTGCTGTGTCCCTGAAAGCTGCAGTTTAAAGTACACATATGCTTTAAATTAAACAATTGCTGTCATTTAAAATTCGCCACCTGATGTTGTTGTATCTCAAGTTTAACTGAAGTATGTATAAAACTTGCTAAAACATGTTTTTATTCATGTTTAGGGCAAGACTAATGTAATTGAAATGCATCCTCAGCTCAGATATTTTCATATTCCCCACCTAAGCCTACATACTTTTCACTGTAATGTCCTGTGGTATTCAGTGCATGTGGTAATAAAATGTTATGCTGCTTAATTAAGCATACCTTAAGGCACCATATTCAACCAGAGGAAGCGTTAGTTATTGGAGACTTGATTGGGCTTTTTCAGAATGTATTGTTCAAGGAAGACAAAGATGACCTATTTTAGGCTAACCCTATTATTGACTCAGAAGGGACACTGTTGCCTGTGGGCTGTAGGTTTTTACAAATCTTCTTTTTGTCTCATGACTGACATTGACTAAAACTAGTCTGCTTGAGATAAAAGTGAAAATCCATGGCACTCCTCTTTGAGTTAAAAAGCCTTTATTATAACATGACTACGGACAAAATATTGTGAATAAACTGTAAATGTAGAGTGCAGTGTTATTTTTTTTTATTTAGTAATTTAACAGTTAACAGCAAAGTATTTGGTAACCTTTGTAAGTGTGTAATAATAATGCCTCTGGTGTAATTCAACAGCTGTAGCTGCTTTTTGAAGATGCAGGCAGACACTGTTAATGTCAACCTTATTTTAGAAGATCAAACATTGAATCAATGTTTTCAATTAAATAAAACCTATTTAATTGCAGATAATTGTATAACGTGATTCTAATATGGTAGTCCTGCTATGTCTTAAATGAGTAGGAAACTGAGAATCTGAAAAAAGAAAGTCAGTGTTAGATTTGTCTATAGATGTGGACTATTGACTGATACATCTCTATAACATCAACAATGAAGTTCTAATAAATTTAATATCCAGAATACCTTGTATATTATAAGGGCTGGTCAAATTTTAAGACAGAAAACTTCAGAAAATAATAATAAAATTCATAAAATAATCTAAATGTACAATTTCTGAATTTCTTCTTCAGATTTATTGTTTCCTAAAAATATATACATATAAATATATATATATAAATATTCCTCTCTGACATGACCTGGAAGTACTCCTGTTCTGTTCAGACCAGCCTAGCACTATTTCCTCCACCCTTCTTTGCTTCACTTCTCTTTGCTTTGTTTCCCTTCGTGAATTTCATGAAAGCTTATTAGACTTTGTGTAACTGTAAAATTACCTTTCCCTTGTTCTTAAGCAACCAACTGGAGAGGTTTGTTGTATTGTTGTTTTGAATTAATTTCACGTTTATTAGTTGTTTTAGTTGTTTCACGTCTATTAGTTGTTTTGGTTGTCAGATCAGGTTGTAACAGATCAAAATTCAGAATTTTTGTGTGCAATTACAACTTGTGTTAAAATGACAGAATATTATATTGATTTTACATTGATAATGATACTATATTGAGAAATTTGAATTCTTTTATATAGCAAAATATATTTAGTTGGGCTAATGATGATGTAATTTGATAGTATATCAGGTTTACCGGACGTTTAGTGTCAGATCAGATACACTCTTGCTTGTGTTGACAGAGCAATCAGGTTAAATTTAACATGCAGCTGTGTGTTACTGGTTTAACCAAACCCGTGTTAAACTGAGACTAAACTGCAGCTAAAAGTGCAACCGTGAATTGGCTGATTCTGACCCTTTGAAGTTAAGACTTTGTGGGTTAATTCCTGGTTGAAATGACTGATTAACAATGCCAAGCATATCCCTTGAGAGTGTTAAATATTATTTTATTTCATTTTACTTTACTTGTTCCTTATTAACTTTGTAACTTCTCTTAAACCTTTTCCCTGTTTTTTCCCTTGCCTTTTTGTATTAATCTAGTTTGCATTTTGTATGTCTCTCTTGGGTGATGTGTGGGGGCTGTGGAGAGCAGTCCTTTGTCATTTAACGACCTCCAATGGTTAGCCTATCTCACATCTGGTTATCTATAGCTCCCCAATCTAGCAATGCCATTTGCTGATGGTGATATCTCGGACCCATCCTGGTTCCTAGTGTGGGCCTCAATACCTCTATTTTAATTACAAAGGTAGAGGCAGTTGTCCATTCCGTGGGGGGGTTCCGGGGGTTCGTTGAGGCAAAGAGACAACTGAGGGTGTGGTTTACATTTTGTGACTATAAGTTCATCAGTGTGTAAGCTTCATTAGACTTGTTTGGTTGAGAAGACGCGCATTCATTAAACTTCATTTTCCTCAAGTCTCCACTCCTGTTTGCTTCAAAAAACCAACGCTTGCCAGCAGAAGTCAACAAGAGTAAGCTAAATACTTGTTTGAAAAAAAATGGTGGGTAGAGGAAAAACAGGGCAGCTAGTAGGTTTCACAAAAGAAATTATTTTAGCAAGTGTTTCTAATTGATTAATGAAAAAGCAGGTATAGTATTTCCTGCCATGCTATGGACTGGGAGATCTGTGACTGGGCAGTGCTCATTAGCTATGCTGCTCCTATTGGAAAGTATTTCGTTTACAAAGAAATCAGCAAATTCTTCTCATTTACCTTCACAATACAGTACTGTTCAAGTGTCTGAGACGTGAAAAAAATATATGTAAAGCCATTGACCTGGGCACTGTTTATTTGTTTAAAACACAAACATCATAATAAGTACAAGAAATAAACACTTTAACATTTGTTCCACTCAGTTCCAGTCCAACCCTGTAAAGCTGCGTGTGACAATCTTGATTAATGAGGCTGCTTCACAAATTAAATAGTAGTGTAGTAGTTAATTGGATAGTAGTGGCAATACTCTCTAACTCAGGCTAAATATAATGAAAAAGAAAACAGTAGGACAGCTATGTGATTGAACACCTTATTATAGCTACAGGATTTGACACCTTGTTAAAAAGGCTGCTGCACTTCCTGGGGAGGCTAAGTCATTATCAATCAATAATATTGATCTCTCTAAATATCAGAGCTTTACAAGCTTTTATAATTTCAGATTAAATTTGCAGAAGACCCACCTGAGTATCTCCAGTTTACAGTGTGAATTCTTCAGTCCAGCAGAGAAATGCTCCACTCCTGAATCCAGCAGGTCATTGTTACTGAGGTCCAGCTCTTTAAGGAAGGAGTCTGCTGATTGTAGAGCTGATGCCAAATTTTCACAAGCCTTTTCCGTAAAATTACAGATAGCTAGTCTGCATAGACAGAGAAAGCAAGGAAATTACAACAGATCTCACAATATATTGTAAAAAAGGTTTTCTGAATGTTGTATAAAATATATCATGTTTTAGACAACACACTACAAATGACCTTTATATGTATTTTATATTGATGTGATGGTTACAGTAAGAGATAAAATAGAAATCAAAATCCAGTACAAAATCATCTATTCCTAAACAAAACAAATCCAAAGTAGTACCTTTAGTATACTGAATTTAAAGTTCTTTTTCAGAGTCAAGAAAAAAAACAGAACTTTCACCTGAGTATCTCTATTTTACAGTGTGAACTCTGCAGTCCAGCAGAGAGCAACCCCACTCCTGAATTATACAGGTAATTGTTACTGAGGTCCAGCTCTTTCAGAGAGGAGTGTGTTGATTGTAGAGCAGAGCAGAGAGCTTGACAGGAGTTTGTGGTGATATTACAACCCGCTAACCTGCAAAAAATAATAAACAATTAAAACAAGGTATGTGAAATCAAGTGTCATAAGAATTATCCTGAAGGAAAAATCTTCCTTGATATATTTTTTGTTTAACTCAGTAGACAAAAAGCTGGGGATGCATTACAAAAACATCCTAACTGAAAGTTTACTGTGATAGCTTACTGTAACATTCACTACTAGTAAAATGACTTTGCATTTATTTATATTACAAAATAGTAGCTTCACTCCTGATAGTGATTCTTTAATTATGAGGTTAAAAAAGCCACTGCAGACACATTCACCTCATCCCCTCTTATTGTCTGTATCTGTTAATGTCAAATAAAATATTGCAGCAATAGATACAAATAATGAGAAGACAGGGTTGAACCTTGAACTTCCAGATCATCACACTTTTGTTTTAACATTTTTTACACCAGTAACTGTTTAGCTAAATAATTTATATTTTTAAGGTATTTCAATAGCATGTTTATATTTCAGCTGTGTATGCATCATCACTTGACATATCAACTGATTATCGACTTTGAGTAGTTTAGGATCACCTAACTAGAGATAAGAGGCTGTAAAATATAATGCTAAATTAAGATAAAATTTTAAAACTTTTAAAAATTCTTTAATATGAATGTGAAATAAATCTTGTCTTGACCTACAGGACTACAGATAGAAAGTTTTGCATTGGGTCCCCAGGGGCCAGTTGCAACAAGTCTTAAGTAAGATGGTTTTAACTGCTAAGTTGGTTGCAGCTAAAATCATTTTTCAGAAAGGACGTTACGCTCCCTGCAACAAAGTTACTCCTGGATGCAAGTAAGACTGATCTTAGTGGAGCGTGTTCATGTGCAAGCAGGGACTGGGATGGCAAAACCTTGATTTTGTGGTCGGTGAAACATTTTTGTTGATTTTGAGGTGTGCTTTGCATCACTGTCCTGCTGGAAGATTCAACCATGGCCCAGTTTAAGCTTCCTGGCTGAAGCAGGTTTTGATTTAATGTCTGCTGGTACTTGATTGAGTCCATGATATCATGTATCCCCAGGACCTTTGGACAAAAAAACAGCCCCACAACATCACAGATCCATGACCATACTTCACAGTGAGGATGAGGTCATTTTCTGCATGACTATCTTTGCATCTACACCAAACCCACCTCTGGTGTTGCCAAAAAGCTCTATTTTGGTCTCATCTGACCATAGAATGCCATCCCACTGAACTTCCCAATAACATCTGGCACACAGATTTCAGAAAAATACTTTTTTCTTGATAGAATTTGGGTTTTTCCCTTAATAAATCAAGGTTCCATTTTTGTGTTTTAAAGACCATAAAGACCAGCAGTAAAGAATGTCACAGTCATTTTTGCTAATATTTACCAGGGTTGCCAATATTTGAGAAGGCCATTGTACAATGATGGTTTTCAATCAACTTGTGTTACTAAGAATTTATACCATAATAAACAGAAGTCATTTACCAATGGTGAAACTTGCATACTGATTTAATTATAGAGTCTGCTGAATGTCACACTGAGGGGAAAACAAAACAGCTTAAATAAAAAAGAAAAAGAACTTTTAAAAAAGAAGTGAGGGTTTGGGAGACCCACATCAGTTTTACTCAGCATTTCTGAGACACACACATCCAAGGATTTATTTTGGTGTTTTTGACCCTCTCCCTCTCCACTCACCTCTGAGACACAACAGCTCTTCACATTTCTCTGCATGGAGAATGTGAATATTAGTTCTGGAAGAAACCTCTGTAGTTTGTGTCTGTTGTAGATACCTGCTACATTGCTATCGCTGCATCTTTGTGTAATATGTTCAAGGTGAGGACTTTATCACACAAGAGTGCTTCTAAATGCATGGAAGAAAATAAGAAAAAATATTTCTGACCCTATAAATAAACCACTATCCACTTTGGTTTTATTTACAGTTTTAAAATGAATGGGAATATGTGCAGACATTAAACATGTTTTGTAGCACAGTTAGCTAATCACAAACTGTAATTATCATTTACACTTTTGTATGATTTTCTACTGTCCAGATAAATGCAGTTTCATTATAGATATGTGATTCACCACACAAATTCAAACACACTTTCACTATTTTGTATAATTGAGATGGCAAGTGAAAAAATACAACACAACCATTGACTGTTATAATGTTTGAAAGCACTGACACAACATTCACACAAGACACAAAGCCTTCATATGCTTTACAGTGTGTCTGAACCTGAGTCCCAGTCCTCTAGTCTAGAGAATAAAATATATTTTGGGCATGTCCAACAACAGCATGGTCTACAATTGTCTGTGAGGATGCATAATGGTCTATGGGGGCATATTTACCATTAGGTTAACAGCACAGTTAAAATCTTAAATCTTAAGTACCAATAAAGTACCAAATAAAAGTAACAAAAAATCCTGAGGAGGCAGAGAAGGGAAAAAAACTGAATAGAAAAAATGGGTACAAACATGACTATGATAAAGAAATTTGAGACAACCACTTTCATTAGTAACTCACCAACTTCCATTCTTTTATTAAAAATGGATGTCATCTTCACATACAGTATGCATGAGGTAGTTCTGAGCTTTGTGAGACATCACTACTGTTTCATTGACATTACCTAAGCTTTGCTCTGCCTGACTTCTTGTTTGACATTAACATTTACACTAATAATAAATGTCACACTAATAAATCTTTGCAGTCCTTACAGTCCACTCTGTGATAATAGATACAAAATTAAATATCTAAATATTGCTCACTTTACTTATCTTTTAACAGCCATTAGCTATAGCATCTGCAGGCAACACCTCCAGACAGTCTCTCTGACATGATTAATAAACTTCTGCAACCTCCTGTACCTGCAACCTACTGCTTGCTGGTTCAGAAAAATTATTCAATGTCTGTACTGTACTTCCAGCATAAATTTGACCGAATTGCCTCTGCTCTAATTTTCATTACCCTTTGGAAAATGTTTTCCCAGATGCTACCCAGTCACTTCACTTCCTAAAAAATGATTTTGATAGCTGAGGTGCTTGGGAAATCCAACTCTGCATACATCCACTGAACAGTACTGAGACTGCGCTTTGTTAGTGATTTCCTCCTTGCTGCTCACTTAAGATCTCTTATTATACTGTTGCTCCTGAATCTCAGCTCACCTTTTAACACATTCTCAAGATATTTTGTCTGTTGTTGTTATGTGTCTCTCCTTTCTCACTGTGTCTCTCTGCCAATCATCATTGCACGTTTTACCTTTAAAAATCATAGTTTTGGCCAGAAAAGGTGGAGCTTCCAGTTTAAAAGCTATGCAGTGGAATCTGCATGTTAACCTTTCAGCTTACTAATTTTGTATGTTTGTAAGTTACTAGGTTAGTTGTTGCCTTACTAGTTTGTTAATCTGTCTAGTGTGTTTTTACTCTAGTCTCTTTCTAGTTCGATTGTTAACTCAGTAGTAAGATCTAGAATTGTAACTAGGGAATTCTAGAGGAGGAATCTCACTCTGGCAGAAATGAACCTCTTTGGTGACTTAGTCGGACACATTTATTTTTCAATTCCTCATTTACTTAATAACTAAATTCCATTTCAGATTTAGATCTGTTGTTCTTTCATTTGTATATTAAAACAGCATTATGCAAAATGTTAGCTCACAATAGTTGACTATCAGTATTGTCTAGTCATCAGGTCATTATGAACGGCCCACTAAGTTTGCTATTCACTAAATGTTTATCTAATAGAAGCTATCTAACTCACAAAAAACTTTATAGCTTGCTGACATCCCATGAATTTCATCCAACTTCTGTGGTTTAGATGTTTTGGAGCCTGTCTGTCCTCTCCTTATCTGACTATATCAGGAACATGGTGGTACTGTTAGTGTTGCTAAATTAAGTAAACAGACAATTTAGTTGGCCAGTTAGTTAGGCTGTGACCTACCAAACAAAACCAATATTATTTAGTTAAGCTATCTGCAAATCACACACACTGCTAACTTACTCTTTACCTAACTAGTTAATGTTAGCAAACAGAAACATATCAGTGTTCTGACAAATTTTGTGAACTTGTCTGCTACGCTGTATAGGAAATGCAGGAAGCAACAGAAAGGCAGATGTGCACTGGTGAAGCTCTGAAGACACAGACTCCAAACTCCACTCCCGGCTCTACATCTTGCTAATCTCTGCTCTCTTAGCAACAGTTCGGACAAACAGCAACTACTCATCAGAACCAACAAGGACTTCCTACACTCCACTGCTGTGTGCTTCACTGAAACCTGGTTATCTGATCAAATTCCCAACAGTGCAGTTCACCTACCTGGTTTCCTGTGCTAACCACAAATCTGAGCTAATAGGAAAGCTAAAACGTGGTGAACTTTATTTCTACGTGAGCAGATTGTTGAACAAATGTTGGTGTTTTAATAACGATATGTCAGCCTTTGTGCAGGATTTCTTCATCAACCGTAGATCGTTCTATTCACCGCAAAAGTTTTCCTCATCCATCATGGTCATCGTTTACAATCCACCTCAAGTCTGCATGAGATAGGCACTTTAAACTCTTGGCAGCCAAATAATCCACTTGGAACAGAATAATCCAGACTCTCTCTTCATCATAAGAAACATAAGTCAGGGTGGATACAAGAAGAGGGGTGGATACAAGAGATATGTCTTCCAGCACGACAATGACCCTGAGCATTCAGCCAAAGCTACTCAAAAAAGGCTTGAAAACAACAAACAATGTCCTGGAGAAATAAGGTTAAAGTCCAGACCACAATTCAATGGCTGGACTTGAAAAGGCTATTCAATCAAGATCCCCATGCAACCTGACAGAGCTTGAGCAGTGGAGGAAGGAAAAACTGCAGTGTTTAAATATGCAAAGCTGTTAGAGACCTACCCACACAGACTCAAGGCTGTGATTACTGCCAAAGGTGCACCTACTAAGTACAGACCTGATGGGAGTTTTATATTTGTAATTAATTCAAATCACTTTACAGAGATCTATTTTCACTTTTACATGAAACAGTGTGTTTCTGATAATCAATAAAGTCAAATTAAGATAGATAGATAGATAGATAGATAGAACTTTATTGATCCCGAAGGGAAATTGCAGCTGTTATTTATTGTTTACAATGAATAACACTGTTATTAACTAAACACTTTAGAGTTATTCATCATTAACTAATGGCATTACCTTCTAAGAAAGTGACTCCCGACTCCGGTCCTTGGGCACCCTCTACACTGCACATTGTGTTTTCCTGCCAAAACACACCCACTTCAACTCAAGAAGGATTTGTTAATTAGCAGATTAGTTGGATCAGGTGTGTTGGGAGCAGGGCAGGGGGTCCTCCACTGTTGTGAGACACATCTAAACCATTACTTGATCATACCTTACAAATGTCATAAGTACTAAGGTGAAGTTACAGTGTCCTGTTCCTGGCTCCACCCCTCCTGTCTAATCCCTTGTAGACTGTGTATAGTTTGTCACTCTCCTTTCCCAGGTTTCTGTTCTTCTCTTTGGTATAAATAGCTGTCATATTTCAGTTTGTTGTTGGATTCATATGCTTCATGTTTTGTGAGCAGTGTTTGTTTATACCTTAAGTTTAATAAAACTGATCAACTCACATCTACATCCTTAATCATGGTCTGATCTTCTGGCACAAATGGAGGCATAAAAGCAGGATGGATATGAGTACTTTTAAAGATTGTTTATGGACTGATATCTGCTACTCTAGTTTATAGAGGTGTTTATTAATGTTTGTTAAGGTCATTTCTACTTTGGTTTTTCGATTGTGATTTTGGATTCCCCTTTTGGTTTTAAAGTTTTCAACTCAAGCCTCTGCTGCAAGTGTCTGGTTACGTTTGCCAACGTTACACTGTGGCTGAATGTCTGTATATATGGGCATGTCATATTGATAGATTTTCTTTGTCTTATTTTCAGAGGTTTTATATTTTTTTAGTGTTATTTGTTGTGTTTTTAAATGGTGTGGTTGTGATGTGGCTTAGATGGTCTTGTGCTGTTTATTTCTAGGTTGATGTGCTTGATGCTGATAATATGCGTTATCCAGCTATTTTGTGACGTGTTTGTGTGTTCCGTTTTGTCTGCTGCTTTGTCATTTTAAATGCTAAAATCTATAAATCAATATGCATATAAATAAATTTGGCATTAATTTTCATATGCCAGCACCTCATGGACCTGGCTTGACACTGTGTGACTGATGTGAAGTAAGTGGTCTGTTTCAAACATTAATATTCATATGTTAATATATGTTATATTGATGTAGATGTAATACTCACAGAGCCTTTGTGCAGACACTCAGGGCTGGGATCAGTCTCATATAACCCTGCTCTGATGTGTTGTATTTCTTCAGGTCCAGCTCATCCAGCTCCTCCTCTGAGATCAGAAGCATGCAGGCTAGTGCTGAACACTGTCCAGGAGTGAGCTTCTTCTCTGAGTATTTCTCTGATTTAAGATATTCATCAATCTCTCTGGAGAGAGACTGATCTTTCATTTCAGACAGACAGAGAAAAAGTGTGATGGATCTGTCAGTTGAGATCGCATTGTGTGTATAATTATCTCCTTTGATTAATTTCTTCATGTATTCTCTGGTTTTCTCAGAGCTGCTCTGCGTCTGAGTCAGTAGACCCTGTAGGAGTCTCTGATTGGACTCCAGTGAGATGCCCAGTAGGAAACGGAGGAAAAGATCCAAGTGTCCATTCTGACTTTTTAAAGCTTTATCCACAGCTCCACTTAGCAGCTCCTCCAGTGTAACACTGTCAGACCTCTCTCTGTTTAGTGGGTTAAAAATCTTCCCAGACTGACTTGTGTAATGGGGTTTAAATTGCTGCAGTGGAGCCTTCACAGGCTGATCTAAGAACTGGGCTTTAAACGGCTGCAGTAGAACATCCTCAGACCTTTCTCTGTTCAGTGGGTTAAAAATCTTCTCAGACTGCCTTGTGTAATGGGGTTCACATTTCCATAGTGGAACCTTCACAGGCTGACCTGAGTACTGGGGTTTAAAGTGCTGCCTTGGAAAATCCTTAGACCTCTCTCTGTTCAGTGGGTTAAAAATCTTCCCAGACTGACTTGTGTAATGGGGTTTAAATTGCTTCAATGGAGCCTTCACAGGCTGACCTGAGAACTGGGCTTTAAACGGCTGCAGTAGAACATCCTCAGACCTTTCTCTGTTCAGTGGATTAAAAATCTTCTCAGACTGACTTGTGTAATGGGGTTCACATTTCCATAGTGGAACCCTCACAGGCTGACCCGAGTACTGGGGTTTAAAGTGCTGCAGTGAAAAATCCTCAGACCACTCTCTGTTCAGTGGATTAAAAACCTCTAGTGTCTTCGTGTTCTTGGTCTCATAGCAGTGAAACACATAAACAGCAGCCAGGAACTCCTGAAAGCTCAGATGAACAAAGCAGTAGACCTTCCTCTGGTAAAGCACACATTCCTCCCTAAAGATCTCAGTGAAAATCCCAGAGTACACTGAGGCCTCAGTGACATCAATGCTGCTCTCTCTCAGGTCCTCTTCATAGAACATCACATTGCCCTTCATCAGCTGTTTGAAAGCCAGTTCAGCCAGTTTCAGAAGAATGGTTCTGTTGGACTCCAGCAGGTTCTTTTGGTCTCTCTCATCTTTCTCCTCATACTTCTCGTTCTTCATTTTGGTCTGAGTGATCAGGAAGTGTGAGTACATTTCAGTCAGAGTTTTAGGGATTTCTGTATGACGCTGTTTCATGATTTGCTTAAGAACAGTGGCTGAGATCCAGCAGAAGACTGGAATGTGGCACATGATGTGGAGGCTCCTCACTGTCTTAATGTGGGAGATGATTCTCTGGGCTTGGTCTTCATCACTGATCCTCTTCCTGAAGTACTCCTCCTTCTGTGGGTCACTGAATCCCTGAATCTCTGTCACACGGTTGATGTATTTAGGAGGGATCTGATTGGCTGCTGCTGGTCGGGAGGTTATCCAGATCAGAGCAGAGGGAAGCAGCTCTCCTTTGATGAGGTTTGTCATCAACACACCCACTGATGATGTCATGGTTATATCAGACACTTTGCTGCAATGTGAAAAGTCCAGAGGAATTCTGCTTTCATCCAGACCATCAAATATAAACACAGCTTTGATCTGATCATAAATCTCTGGGTCCAGATCTTTGAGCTCAGGATGGAAGGCACACAGAAGTCCATGAAGACTGTGCTGATCATCTTTAATCAGGTTCAGCTCCCGGAACGGAAGCACAAACATGATCTCTACATCCTGATTGGTTTTTCCTTCAGCCCAGTCCAGAATGAACTTCTGCACAGAGACAGTTTTTCCAATTCCAGCAATGCCTTTAGTCAGAACAGCTCTGAGCTCTGGTGCTTTTGATTCTTCATCTTCTGTTTTTTCTGTCAGCACTTTGTGAGTGAGATCTTCAGCTGTCTCAGCTGTAATACTCTCTTGTTTTTCTTCTCCTTTAAGACATTCTTGTGGTTTAAAAATATCTGAGTAGTTGATTGGAGTGTCTTGTAGGTGTTTCCTGGATGTTTTCTCCATCCTTAAAACCTCATGTTCTTCATTCACTCCTTCACTCTCTCCCTCTATGATGTAGAGCTGAGTGTAAATCCTGTTCAGGAGAGTTTTATTCTCTTCTGTTCTGATTCCCTCAAATAAGCACTCATACTTTTTCTTCATGCTGGTTTTGTGTCTCTCTAAGTCCCTGTACAGTGCATCACGTGCAGGTTGGTAAGAGTCCTGTTCCATTGTCACTTTGTGTGAACAGAGGACTGGACGTGTCATACATCTCTTTCTGCACTGAGGACAGACAAAGTCTTCTGATTGAGCCAAATGGTCCCAGTAGCTGCTGATGCACTGCCTGCAGAAACTGTGTCTACAGCTGATAGAGACTGGATCTGCCAGAAGGTGGTTTCCCAGTCCACACCTGGACGGGTCCTGGAGATGACCATCTCTCCTCAAGCTAAGAGAGACAAATTGAAAGAATGAACAGGAGAGTCAGAGAGAAAGAAATAGTTCATAAAACCAGCAAACACAAGAAATAGTGAGAATTTCAACATGGCAAACTACAAAATGTTAAAGGTCCACATCAATAATTCCTGTTTCCCATTAATCATCAAGAACTCAGCCCATAAACAGAAACACAAATCATCAGTGAATAAAGGTCTAATAAAGACTAAAACTCTGTTTACTGTTTCTTTCTTTCAGACTATGTTGACACTTCATTGTTCTGGAAACACATAATATAAATAACGTCATCAGCTCTATATCAAGTACATTTGATGCTCCTTCTCAGGGTTCAGCAGATACTCAGCAGACTGCTGACGAACAGACCAAAAGTGGAATTGGAAACCCAATCAATAACACTAACTGCGTGCAGTGCTATAGCATTAAAACTCACCCTCATTGACTGATATAATTCCTCTTTTTGAAGAAGGCTGCAAAGCGAGCCGCACATAGAAACTGTTGTTATTGGGTTAAAATCATTTGATTCTGAATCATAGAAATGGCTACAGCTGAGCTGATTGCTCATATTTGTTGTTCGATTTTTTAGTTATTAGATACCTAATTTGATTTACATGACTGTGTCAGTGGTCAATGTTTTTTGTGTATTCCATTGAAATTTTTTGTTTGTGAAGTAATAGTGCTGGTCATCAAACTATAAATGTGTGTCCTGTGTAATTGTTGAGTTAGTTGTATGTTAGTAATAGCCAAAGTTTAATGCAGCTGTTAATGATGGGAAAAACGAGGCCTTTAAATGAATGAAAAGAAGTATTGTCTAGTTGGAGTACTCAATTGTTATTAAGGTAACAAGTATTATACCAAATATTCTAATTATTAATAATGATCAAAATGTTGGCTATATTTAGGCTATATAGATAGGAAATACAGAAAGAAACAGTCCATCTTTATTTGTCATTACTTTTCAAGAAAATGATTTTCTCTGATGTTCTGGGGCTAAGACGAGTTCTTTTACTTCTTATGACCTCACCTCACCAGCTGGAGGAATCTGCACATAAGCATTTCTAGGGTCTGTGATCAGATGATTGATTCAGTCAATGTGTCAATCACAGGTTGAAGCTCTAGCTTCCAGTGTCACACTGACTCATTCTGAGGCCTACATCACATCTGATCATGTGACTTTTAAACCACATGTTAAGCAGTCCTTCAGAATGTCACTGCTTTTAAAGCTTGACACAGTACTGAGCATCTCATCAACAGTGGCTGCTGTCCAGAATGGATTCAACTGTGTATTGATTTACAGATGTAGTTGCAACCAAATTCAAAATTTCACAATGAAAACAAAACATACAGAAACTTCATTGACGTGTAAGTATAGTACCTATAACTATAGTTAAGATCAGCATCAATTAGACTGTTAAAGCTCACTGTAACTTTAGTTAACGTCAGCTTCAGGTAGACTGTTAAAGCTGACTGGAACTATAGTTTACGTCACCTTCAGTTAATATGTTAGAGCTCACTGTAACTATAGTTAACGTCAGCTTCAGTCAGTCTGTTGGAGCTCTCTGGAACTATAGTTAATGTCAGCTTCAGTTAGTCTGTTGGAGCTCTCTGGAACTATAGTTAACGTCAGCTTCAGTCAGTCTGTTGGAGCTCTCTGGAACTATAGTTAACGTCAGCTTCAGTTAGTCTGTTGGAGCTCTCTGGAACTATAGTTAACGTCAGCTTCAGTCAGTCTGTTAGAGCTCACTGTAACTATAGTTAACGTCAGCTTCAGTTAGTCTGTTGGAGCTCTCTGGAACTATAGTTAACGTCAGCTTCAGTCAGTCTGTTAGAGCTCACTGTAACTACAGTTAACGTCAGCTTCAGTCAGTCTGTTAGAGCTCATTGTAACTATAGTTAACGTCAGCTTCAGTTAGTCTGTTAGAGCTCACTGTAACTATAGTTAACGTCAGCTTCTGTAGTCTGTTAGAGCTCACTGTAACTATAGTTAACGTCAGCTTCAGTTAGTCTGTTAGAGCTCACTGGAACTATAGTTAACGTCAGCTTCAGTTAGTCTGTTAGAGCTCACTGGAACTATAGTTAACGTCAGCTTCAGTCAGTCTGTTAGAGCTCACTGTAACTATAGTTAACGTCAGCTTCAGTTAGTCTGTTAGAGCTCACTGGAACTGTCAGTATAGTCTAACGTCAGCTTCAGTTAGTCTGTTAGAGCTCACTGTAACTATAGTTAACGTCAGCTTCAGTCAGTCTGTTAGAGCTCACTGTAACTATAGTTAACGTCAGCTTCAGTTAGTCTGTTAGAGCTCACTGTAACTATAGTTAACGTCAGCTTCAGTCAGTCTGTTAGAGCTCACTGTAACTACAGTTAACGTCAGCTTCAGTTAGTCTGTTAGAGCTCACTGTAACTATAGTTAACGTCAGCTTCAGTCAGTCTGTTAGAGCTCACTGGAACTACAGTTAACGTCAGCTTCAGTTCAGTCTGTTAGAGCTCACTGTAACTATAGTTAACGTCAGCTTCAGTTAGTCTGTTAGAGCTCACTGGAACTATAGTTAACGTCAGCTTCAGTTAGTCTGTTAGAGCTCACTGTAACTACAGTTAACGTCAGCTTCAGTTAGTCTGTTGGAGCTCACTGGAACTATAGTTAACATCAGCTTCAGTCAGTCTGTTAGAGCTCACTGTAACTATAGTTAACGTCAGCTTCAGTCAGTCTGTTAGAGCTCACTGTAACTATAGTTAACGTCAGCTTCAGTTAGTCTGTTAGAGCTCACTGGAACTATAGTTAACGTCAGCTTCAGTCAGTCTGTTAGAGCTCACTGTAACTATCAGTTGACGTCAGCTTCAGTTAGTCAGTTAGAGCTCACAGTAACTACAGTTAACGTCGGCCTCAGTCAGTCTGTTAGAGCTCACTGTAACTATAGTTAACGTCAACTTCAGTTAGTCTGTTAGAGCTCACTGGAACGTCAGTAGACGTCAGCTTCAGTCAGTCTCTTAGAGCTCACAGTACTACAGTAAACATCGACTTCAGTTAGTCTGTTAGAGCTCACTGAACTATAGTTAACGTTAGCTTCAGTCAGTCTATTAGAGCTCACTGTAACTACAGCTGATGTCAGGCTCAGTTCATTTGTTAGAGCTCACTGTACCTATAGTTAACATCAGCTTCAGCTTCAGTCAGCCTGTAAGAGCTCACTGGAACTATAGTTAACATCAGCTTCAGTCAGTCTGTTAGAGCTCACTGGACTATAGTTAACGTCAGCTTCAGTTAGTCTGTTAGAGCTCACTGTAACTATAGTTAACGTCAGCTTCAGTCAGTCTGTTGGAGCTCTCTGGAACTATAGTTAACGTCAGCTTCAGTCAGTCTGTTGGAGCTCACTGTAACTATAGTTAACGTCAGCTTCAGTAGTCTGTTGGAGCTCACTGTAACTATAGTTTACGTCAGCTTCAGTCAGTCTGTTAGAGCTCACTGTAACTACAGTTAACGTCAGCTTCAGTTAGTGTGTTAGAGCTCACTGTAAATGTAGTTAATGTAGTTAACGTCAGCTTCAGTTAGTCTGTTAGAGCTCACTGTAACTATAGTTTACGTCAGCTTCAGTTAGTCTGTTAGAGCTCACTGTAACTGCAGTTAACATCAGCTTTAGTTAGTCTGTTAGAGCTCACTGGACTACAGTTAACGTCAGCTTCAGTCAGTCTGTTAGAGCTCACTGTAACTACAGTTAACGTCAGCTTTCAGTCTAGTGTGTTAGAGGTCACTGTAAATGTAGTTAATGTAGTTAACGTCAGCTTCAGTTAGTCTGTTAGAGCTCACTGGAACTATAGTTAACGTCAGCTTGAGTCATGTTGTTAGAGCTCACTGTGACTATAGTTTACGTCAGCTTCAGTTAGTATGTTAGAGCTCACTGTAACTACAGTTAACATCAGCTTCAGTTAGTCTGTTAGAGCTCACTGGAACTACAGCTAACGTCAGCTTCAGTTCAGTCTGTTAGAGCTCACTGTAACTACAGTCAACGTCAGCTTTAGCTAGTGTGTTAGAGATCACTGTAAATGTAGTTAATGTAGTTAACGTCAGCTTCAGTTAGTCTGTTAGAGCTCACTGTAACTATAGTTAACGTCAGCTTGAGTTAGTGTGTTAGAGCTCTCTGGAACTATAGTTAACGTCAGCTTCAGTCAGTCTCTTAGAGCTCACTGTAACTATAGTTAACGTCAGCTTTAGTCAGTCCGTTAGAGCTCACTGGAACTATAGTTAACGTCAGCTTCAAGTAGTCTCTTAGAGCTCACTGTAACTATAGTTAACGTCAGCTTCAGTTAGTCCGTTAGAGCTCACTGGAACTATAGTTAACGTCAGCTTGAGTCACGTTGTTAGAGCTCACTGTAACTATAGTTAACGTCAGCTTCAGTTAGTCTGTTAGAGCTCACTGTAACTACAGTTAACATAAGCTTCAGTTAGTCTGTTAGAGCTCTCTGGAACTACAGTTAACGGCAACTTCAGTCAGTCTGTTAGAGCTCACTGGAACTACAGTTAACGTCAGCTTCAGTCAGTCTGTTAGAGCTCACTGTAACTATAGTTAACGTCAGCTTCAGTTAGTCTGTTAGAGCTCACTGTAACTACAGTTAACGTCAGCTTCAGTTAGTGTGTTAGATGTCACTGTAAATGTAGTTAATGTAGTTAACGTCAGCTTCAGTCAGTCTGTTAGAGCTCACTGGAACTACAGCTAATGTCAGGTTCAGTCATTTGTTAGAGCTCACTGTACCTATAGTTAACGTCAGCTTCACTTCAGTTAGTCTGTTACAGCTCACTGTAACTATAGTTAACGTCAGGTTCAGTTAGTCTGTTACAGCTCACTGTAACTACAGTTAACGTCAGCTTCATGTAGTCTGTTAGAGCTCATTGTAACTATAGTTAACATCAGCTTCAGTCATTCTGTTAGAGCTCACTGTAACTATAGTTCACGTCAGCTTCAAGGGGTCTGTTAGAGCTCACTGTAACTATAGTTAACGTCAGATTC